TCACGGCGCGGCAAAAAAACGACAACAAAGCATCAAAGCATCAAATCTGTGGATCTTTCCAGCAGCATGATGCTGCCACCACCTTGTAGATTTGTTTATTCAAGTTGAATTGCAGATGGTGTTTTCTATGTGGAGCCCTTTCTCTGTTCGCCATGTGTCTCCTCCTCCAAAGCTACCATGAGTCTCTCGGCTGCTTCTCTGATGAAGGCTATACTTGCTTGGTGGGTCAGACCTACATTAGGAACCTACATCCTGGGGGTTCTGATCTGTAGGGGGGCCAAGTTTGGGTCAAATCGGATGTATTATCAAAAATACAACAGGGTAGCTTTAGCAGGCTTTGTTGTCTGTTTTGATGTAATTTCTAAATTCAATTTCAACATAAGAATAACCTTTTTTTTTAGAGCTTTTAGTTGGATGCAAACTGTGTCTTTCATTGTTTTTCTTACCTTTTAACAAAAATAAAATGTTCCACCTAAGAAAGCATTCCTTCTGATGGTCTAAAAGTTATTTTTCACAAAGTTCTTTTTCTTTGCTTTTATGTCTAGACATAAAAAGTGTTTTTATTTTTTGACTATGAAAGGTCACACGCTAAATAGTACGTCTGAAGCAATTAGTGAGAATAATGGTGATTAACTGATTGCTGAAATGATGGAACACATCATTAATGGAAGAATCACTTACTGGAATACACAGACTCTAAAACATTTCATTTGTTTAAGGAGAAACCCTCTCAGAGCAATAACTGAGCCTAAACTGTAGGGAAAATAAATAACATTTGTATTCATGATGAAAACGCTTCTTTGTCTGTAAATATGCTTGATTCAGAACTCCTAAAATTGCATTTCTAAGCATTAAAATACATGTTTTATCGATTAATAATGATTTAAAATGTGTGGTAAATGTCTGTGATGTAGTTCAATTGCTTGTTTATTGAGGAGTATTAATTGATTAAGAATAGGTCTATTTCTGTGATTAAAATTGAAAAAACTATTACTATTATTGGTATTTAAGATAAATGATAACTGCTGCCCTAGTCTATAGTGTCATACTTTTTAGATTTTATTTGACAAAAACTTTTAAAATGTGACTATTTTAGTCATTTAGCAATTTTAAATGCTTTTTAGTTTGTGGCTGTATTGTAAAAAAAAAAAAAGAATGTTAAAAGTGGTTGAATAATTTTGCAAGGCTCTTTAGGAACAACTTCAAACTTAACGGTCTGTCTAATTAAACTTTAACCTCTTTCCATAAAACCGGAGGAAAGCTTTAAAGCAGATCTAGAAGCTGGAAGCAGCAAAGATGAGGTGATTTAAACTGAGTTCAACCAAATCATTATCCTACTTTGTTTTTCTGTTTCTTTACCGTTCTCCTTCAGCTCTCCACCCCTCCTGTCACCCATCCATTGTCACTTTCTCATTTAGCAAAATCAACGTACACAGAAGCAAACCGTGTTTTAACGACTCATTGAAGTTATTTTGAGCAAAGCTCTGACAGATCATTTGTTCCAGCCTGCCTCTCCATTTCTTTCCCATCCTAACCCCACTCTCCTGTTGTTTCCCCCTGCAGATCCTCCAACATCTGAAGCTCTTCTGCATCTCTTCCAAGGGCGCATCGCTGGGGTTTTGTTTAACATGCAGGCTCTAAGGTGCGAGTAGCAGTTTGAGCTCAGAGGAGTCTTCTGTGTGTCTTCATGCATTCTTCAAGGACAGAAATGGGCTCAGTGGGAGCGGAGCGTCGCAGGCCAACGCCGGCCCAGACGCCCGAGGAATGGGACGGGTGGAGGGATCGAGGAATGGCTGGATGGAGGGATCCCGGGAGGGAGGGCTGGAGAGAGGGAAGGGAGAGCGGCGTGGTGCAGAGCTACAGCTTCGATTCGTATCAGCTGGAGGAGGAGGAGATCAGTAAAGACGCCCCAGAGCGAGGAGTGCTGGCTCTATCTGAGCCCGGTGAGCACTTCTTGCTTTCTCTCTTTCTCTGTGTTCATGTTTTGCACTATTTATAAAAAGACAGCAGAGGAACAAAGTGGATTTAATGTAGGAGTTAGCTGAGCAGGATAGTAAAGAAAAAACAGGAGAGAAAACAGCGTTCAACAAGCACATCATCGCTGGAGGTCCTGCTGTTATACTTTGATTAGATGTGGCTTTAATTATGAACATTTCCTGGGGATTAAATCCACTTTGCTCTTGTATTAACTTAAAAAAAAATTAAAACACACAATGGATTTAGTTTGTCCTTTGCAGGTATTTTCTTGCAGTGAGGACAAATTATTTCCTTCTTAGTGTATGAAATAACATCAAGAATCGGACGCTGCTTTTTTATCAGGTTTGTTTTCAGGGTCAGTAACAGGTGTGTGATAAACATGTCCAGATAACGTTGGAGGAGAAGGAGAAAGCAACATGTTTTGTGTAAAGCAAGGCAGGCAGACCTGTTGACACATAATTGCCTTGTTGCCTGGTTACAAAGGTTGCACAAAGGCCGGTTTAATTAGATCATGAGTGAAGACAGACACACAGCCAGGGCCCTGGATACAGTGTCTCCCAGACTCATCTACTTCTCCTTCCTCAGCTCTGCTTACTGTGGGTTTTTATAATCACCTTTAGTTTCTTTTCAAACCAATAGAAAACTATGCAATGCCGTGAAATGTTTTATTTTGTTTCAACAGGCGTGTGTTCTATAGTGTAATTTTTTGCTCCAGTTTTACCCAAAGTAATAAAAGCAGCTGGATTATGAAGAATAATTTTAGACTGATTTCATCACAAAAGCGGAATCAGTAAGTAAACTAGAGGAGTATGAAAACCTTTGAATAGACTTTCTCTTTTTCTCCTGTTAGCAGACATGCTGTTTATGTGTCTAAAGACAAACCTGGCATATTTTTATGGTATCTTTTGTCTTCATCAGAGGCTACCTTCACTGTCGTTTGGAACTACAGCTGATGACACCTCTGATTAAGATGGAAGCTACCATTGAAAATTTTACAAAAAAAGGCGCATATAGCACATACTCACCACTGTAGAGGGCACTTTAGCACACATATTGGCCCCTAAGAAGGCATTAAACATGAGTTTCAGCTTCCAAGGGGGCATTTTAACATGTGTTTTGGTTCCCAAGAGGGCACTGAGCACACGTTTTGCTCCACAAGTGAACACTTTAACATGCATTTTAGCTTCAGAGAGGGAGCAGAACATGTTTTTTGGATTCCAAGAGGCAAATCTAACATGGAGCCTAGGCGGAACTTCAACTGAAGAAACTCATTGCTTTCCTTCATCCACCTGTGACACAGCCAATCAGCTTTGAACCACACCTCTAAGAAAACCCAATCGGCTTTCAAAGTGCATCTTAAAAGGCCTCCGATAAGCACCTGTTGCTCCTGTGTGCAGGCGGTGGATGCGCTGTGACTTCATTCAGATAACCTAGTTTCAACTCACCTCCAGCCCCTCCTCCACCATCCTCCCGGACTCTTACTGCGTTCCCTTTAGCTTCTTAACCGGTCTGGCAGAAGACCGACATGTTGCGCCTGGTTCTGCCAGAGGTTTCTTCCCAACTGGGAGTTTTTTCTCTCCACTGTCGCTCAATGCTTGCTCATCATGTAGAGGTTCTCTTAACCTGTGTTATCCAACCTGGACTTCCATCTTCCAGGTCCCTGAGTGAAGCTCTAGTATGAGCTCACGCAGTCCACTGGATCTCCCCATTAAGCTCAGCATACCATCTCACTAACCAGCAGTCTACAGACTGACCAACTTCATCCAACTCCATTCCACCAGTTTCAGGCCTGGGGCAACAGCCCTATTCTTTGCTCCTGTTCATGCATATCTATCAAAATTAAGTGCTATGTTTCCTGCCGAGGTCTGAGCACCAAAGACAAAGTAGTTGTATCAATACATTTCTCCTAATTGTCTTTTCTCTTTGTGCGAAGTTTTCCAAATTTGGCTTCCGAGAGGAAGTTAAAATCTAAATTAGCACATTCTATTAGTGACAAACTATCTAAAGTTAGTTTATATGGTTTTATTGAACTAGTATCTTTAAAAATATTTAAATTCTAATTTTTAGCCCTTTAGCCATCATCTGCACGTGTGCAGGAAATGTTCTATGAACACATCATAAATGCAGGGAGATAAATATGTAAACTTATTTTGAGAAACATTTCATGCTTTCCAGATGCATGTAGGAGCCAAACTGCCTCCTACATGCAGAGCTCTCTAGTCACTCTGAAAGAGACTGACTTTAAACGCAAATACATCAGTTGTTATGATTAAATGCCAGTAGAGATGTTTTTAAAGATTTAAACTCTGCTGTGTGTCTCACAGCAGAGTTTAAATCAGCTGGTGTTTATTGTTTCACAGTTAAAAGACAGAAATAATTGGTTATGGCTGTTTGTTTTTATGGGTTGTGTGAGGGGTTGTCAGGTAATTAATCTGCAGTGGTGTGTGATAAAACCTGTCCAGTGGGAACACTGCTGCTTGTTTGGTAGCTATTCAAATACACTTCAGCAACATTTATCAAGCTTAAAATAAATGTTACTTTTAAGATTTTGGAGACTTATTTCTCTGCTCAGCAAGATATAAATATACACATGTATATATCTCCCTGCAATAGAAACATTAATAACCTTCGGATCACTCGACTAAATAGAGTTAGAATGAAGAAAATACTATTCTTTTTATTTCTGATTCTATACTGCCATTGAGCATTTGATATTAGAATAAGTGATATAGGAAGAGAGCAGATGACAGCCAATATTGCCACCAAATGTTGTTGAAGTGTTCACATTCAATATAAAAACCCAAACTGGAGGATTTATGTAAAACACATCGGCCAACCCAGACAGAAAGTACTCATGCAAAGGTCTTCAGTAGAGACAGACTGATGTGCCGGTATAACAATATTTTGGTTGATATAAGCATTTTTGTAATGTAGTGATATCAGGCGATGCATGCAGACTTTGTCCAAATCTTAAGTGCATTCATGTATAGTGCATGCAATGACATTCCCCTGTAAATGGCTAAATAAAGACCAAAAAGTTTTTTTTTCAAAAACATATTTTATTTAAAGTGAAAACTCTTTTTGGAAATAAGTAAAATATGGGCGTGCTTCGGTGGTGCAGTTGTTGGAGCACATGACCCATGTACAGAGGGCTTAGCCCTTGACCCAGATGACCCGGGTTCGAATCCGACTTATGTCCACTCCCTCTCTTTCCTGTCAGCCTACTGTCCATAAAATGAGCCACTAGTGCTGTACATTTATATTATTGTAAATTATGCCGTAAATATATTATATTTTCCTAAATATATATTTGGGGAAAAAAAAGGTTTTAAGCCAAAAAGTATTTTTAATAACTGAAAAGGAGAGATTTGAATCTAAACATCCATCCATCTTCTCTCGCTTTTTCAGTCAGGGTCATGGTGGTGCTATTTCCACCAGTCTATGGGCGAAAGGCGGGGTACACCCTGGACAGATCATCAGTTTGTTGCAGGGCCACACAGAAACATAAAACCATGTACACTCACAACCAAGGACAATTCAGAGACCTAACATTTATATTAGTGTGGCTCGGATGAGAGAACCCATGCATGCATGAGGAGAAACTGCAGTCTCCATGCAAAAAAAACGTAGACCAGGAATCAAACCCAGAAATGTAAAGCAAAAGTTCCACAACGTGCATCACTGAATCTGAACAATATTTCTAAAACTGGAGAAAAAATAATGTAAACTGAAAAAAATTTTGAAACAGTGACCCTTTTGTTTTTGTCAAACTAATAACATAAATGATAATGATTGATTATTCTTTAATATACTTTAAAAATTTCTTTTCAGTTTTGAATCTTTGCCGTTTTAGTTTTTTCTTCTTCAGCTTTAGAAAGGTTCTTTCAGTTCAATCATAAACTGTATGGCCGTTACTTAGCTCTATAATTTGTTTTTTTTTGTTACGGTTTTGTTTAATTTGTAAATAGATGTTGATTTTCCATTTAAATCGAAACCTGTACATTTATTATCACGCAAGCCTTCTAAAACAGGCCGGTTTTTTAAATTTGCATCTGAGTTGGAATGGGCTTCGGTGGATGGGCCTCCATGGTGCAGCGCTCCAATTACAGTTTGCTCTAGTGTGAACTAACAAAGATTCCAGGATAGGTGTCAAAACGTCTTTAGAAAAACTGAGCAAGAGTCAAGCTGCCTCCTATTTTCATGTTATTTGAACATTCTCTACACATTGTCTACACAATCAACAAAAACCATCAGCAGATCAGCTGTTGTTACTTCATAGTGAGAACTACTTTTCCACCTTAGTCTGCTGTAAAATCTACTTCCTTCCAAATAATTCAAAGCTGGTTAAAGTGAGTTTACAGGATTAGAGACGGATTAGGAGCACTTCCATAGAGACCCTGCACATCATACTTTATCCATGAGAAGGATTCTGCTGCAAAACAGTCTTTTAATGAACCAACTCTGACAGCTAGTTTTCTGTCAACAAACCAACCCCTGTAATCTGCTTCTCAGCAGTCAGAAGGGCAGAGACTTTTACTTCACCAGTTTCTCCATCTGCTGCAGCAGAATCCTTCCTCCTCATTAGCGTGTTTGACTCATTATGATTGTAGAAAATAATATTTTTTTGCCAGAACCTTTTGGATCAGTGCAGAACGGTCTGTAATTTGATCAGTTCTGACACATTTATCAGACATTTGAAAGTTTGTTTTGTGTCTACTCTTTATTCTGTTGTCGTAGGTAAAAAAACAAAGGTTTTTGGCTATTTTGATGATGTATCTAGATATTCAGTAATTTATTGTGAGTAAACAGATCTTGATCTTGAAGTTGATTTGAAATCAAACACCCTCCATTGGCAAATCTATGTGGTCCAAAAGCATAGGTAAGAAAATAGCACAAACAATACTAAAAGAATAAAGAATATATGATACTTGCAAATACTTGCAAACATACATAAAAGATGTCTTTATAAAAGAACCGTGATAATGTTGTTTTTTTCTTATCCAGGTGAGCTGGAAAGAGATTATATGAATGTACATTGTGAAACACATGAATAGACAAACATACTTCTATTATGAAGACCCAGGAAATAAACACGAGAATGTAAAATATTTCAGGTATACTAGCTTTTATTTTTTCTTCACTTTTACTTTAAAATGCTTTGAATAAACTACAGGTTCTGACAGTGCAGGGCTGCAGCTAGATTCTCTTGGGTATTTTGTTAAAATGTATGTTTCTGTGCCAAAAAAAACTTTTGAGAGTTGAACTAAAGAGCTAAACTCTGATCCACAACATATCCCAATGTAAGCAGTGTTAAGCAGAAATCCCTGCAGCTCCCTCTGGGTTGTCTCTTGGCAGCCCTTCTGATCAGAGTAATGAGCAGTTTTTGTGAGGCCATTTTTATTTCCTCCAAGTTTCTTATGATCATAACAGGGTGTATACATTGAACCAGCGGTTACTAACAGAAATCCTCTAGGGCAAGTGTCCTGCAGCATTTAGATGGGTCCCTTGCCTTGCACACGTTAATCAAATGACTAAACTACCTTAAGTTCTTCAGAGCTCTGCAAATGAGCCACAAGCTGTGTGATAAACAGAAGCACATGGAGAGGTGGATAGTGTCACAAAAATATTTCACTTAAATTTTAAGATTTATGTAATTTTATAACATCTAAAATTCCTATGAACATTTATTTAGATAATTGTAACACAACTTATTAAATAAACCTTATATGATGCTTCATTAATTTAATAGAACTTATTTTTTAAAAATACATAACTGTCAAGTTTATTTATTTAGAATTAATAAAGAATACTTACTGTAGTAGAAATTAATACTAATGGTTGTATTTATTTTAAATACATAAAGTTCATAAAGTTGCACAATAATCAGGTTACCTTTATGCAAATCAAACAATATATTTTATGTATTTTAAATAAATACAACCATTAGTATACATTTTGAGTTAGTATACTTTATTAGTACTAAATACATAAACCCGATAAATATGTATTTCAGATAAATCATTTATTATGCTAATATGGATCATGTACATTTTATTGAAAAGGTTTTTGTTGAAGTTCCGGGTTCGATTCCTGGTCCGGGGTCTTTCTGCATGCAGTTTGCATGTTCTCCCTGAGAATGCGTGGGTTCTCTCTGGGTACTCCAGCTTCCTCCCACACTCCAAAAACATGACTGTTAGGTTAATTGTATTAATTCTCCTTAGGTGTGAGTGTGTGCGTGAATGGTTGTTTGTCCTGTTTTTCTCTGTGTTGCCCTGCGATGGACTGGCGACCTGTCCAGGGTGGACCCCGCCTCTCGCCTGTAGACAGATGGAGATAGGCACCAGCACCCCTCACGACCCCAACAGGGATAAGCGTGTTGTGAGATGGATGGATGTTTTTTAATGTAGTAAATTTACATATATCTTAAGATTTGGGTGAAATATCTCTGTGAAAGTATTAAGGCTTTAAACTATAACTATGATTAATAGTCAGGGAAATTGTAATTGAAACTGAATTTTACTTCATGTTGATTTTTCTTTAAAGAGAACATCAAGTACTAAAGAAACCGATTTCGCAACCAGGTTAATGCATCTTTTCATTTTTTATCCCAACCTAACTGTTTTGAATTGCAAAAAAGATGGAAAATCTCTTGAAGTGATTCATAGCAGTGTGTCATATCCCCACTGTTTTAATTTCTAACCCTTGACTCCTTTCATTTCCCTCTTCAGAATTTGAGCAGCCCATCCCTGATGACCGTTACCATGGCATCTACTTTGCAATGCTCCTGGCTGGAGTGGGTTTCCTGCTTCCCTACAACAGCTTCATCACTGATGTCGACTACCTACATTGCAAGTTTCAGGGTATGAATGTACATGACGTTCAAAGACACCACCTGGACACCCACAGCCTCAGCATTTCCATCTTTCTCCTGTATTTCAGGAACACCCATAGTGTTTGACATGAGTCTAACCTATATAGTGGTTGCTCTGCTGGCTGTGATCCTCAACAATGTGCTGGTGGAGAGACTCAGCATGCACACCAGGATTACTGTGGGTAGGTTCAAGTCGCCATGTTTGCGTTCTCCTTCTGGCATTTAGAAATGCCAAAGACATTTATGCATGCACAGTGTTTTTGTATATTTTTTTTCATAATTATTTACATCTTTTCAATGTTGCTGTAATGTCTCAAAGCATCTAAATGGTTGATTAATATAAGATGCTCTGAACTCCCTCTGATACATTCAACACATTTTAAAAGTGATGCCTAAAAATGCTTTTAAAATAAACTATTCTATGCTTATGATTTTATACATTTGTGTTGGAGATAAGTTAAGGAATGTAAAGGCTTCGTAGTGCCAGAAATAAAAGTAAAAACATCTTTGAGCAAGAATGAAACAAGAAGAGTTTTTGAAAGAATATCTCTGAGGAGAGTTTCTGTGACTCTGTGCTGATTTCCACTTGGTGCATGTGAGCTTTAACCACTCTATTCTTTGTAACTTAAAATAGCTCTGCCTGCAGCCTTGAGGGGGAAACTTTTGAAGTGTGTTGTTCGCTTGAGAGCTTTTCTGTGGAGTTGATACATTCGTAGCTCTGCAACAGGATCTCACCTGCAGCAAAGCTGATGATTGCACAATGAATTCAATCACATCACAGACAACGGCAGGAATATATTTACATATCAGCCTTTTCCGTCCTCTGCAGGTTACATCTTGGCACTGGGGCCACTCATCTTTGTCAGCGTGTTTGACGTCTGGCTGGAAATGTTCACCAACAAGCAGGCTTACGTCATCAACCTGGTGTCAGTGGGAGTGGTCGCCTTTGGATGCACAGGTAGGCTTTTCCTAAAGGTACACAGATTTTAGCTTTATCTAGTAAAGCACCAGGACTTAATTTTGAAGTGACTCCAAAATTGCTAAACAGTCAGCGAGGGAAAAAAAAATTAATCTAATTTTAAGGAAGCAAATAAAAAGAACAAACTAAAGAATGTGAGAGTGGTCAAAATGAGTAGAAAAAATGACTATGGAAGAAAAAATACCTACACCACTAAAAAAAACTAGAAATTAGTAAAAAATTCTGAAATTAAGTGTATTTAACCCAAATTTGAGTAAGTAAATAGGATGTTTTGCCAATGTAATGAGTATATTTACTCCTAAAATAAGATAATTAGATAGTATGCACTTAAAATAAGACAAAGCAATTGTTTTTTTCTTATTTTAAATATAAATTGTCTTGTTCCACTGGCAAAGTGTCTCACTTACCTGCTCAATTCAAGAAAAAAAAATCCCTTATTTTAAGAAAAAAATACTACTCATTTACTGTACTTTACTCCAGCTGCACATCTTTACACATCTAATACTGCAGGATGTCGTAGTTTAATCTCTGCATAAAGACATTTCAAAAAGCCCACAGTATCAACATAGCAACTAAAGCTCATAACAGATTTTGAAAAGACAACATTTTCCAACTACCAGAGTGTTAGTTTCAACTTGGCCCCGCGATCCAGCTGAGGAATCACAGAAACAGGAACTATTAGACCAAATAAAAGCAGCTGGGAAAACTCTTTTGGATGCTCTTACAGGGGATTGTTCGAGGATATAAATATAGCCGTAGGTGACAGTAATGAAAGATACACTGTTTAAAAAATCTGGACAGGTAATATTTCCATTACCCCCCCTCCCCACCAAAATCTGGCAAACATCACTACATGGTTTAAATTACCTGACTGTGTCCAGATCCTCATTAAAAATGAAAACAAGATTGTTGGACTGCGGCTGAGGTTGGGTCCGGTCAGTCCTTCTCACACACATGCAGACCATCTCACCCCTATTATTCCCCAACAGTTTTTCTTTTTTTTTTTTCTTTTGCTACTTCTTCCTGCTGACTTAGCAATACTAAGGCGGTCTTTACCTGCCTGATAGGCAAGACAAGGCAAGGCAAATTTATTTGTATAGCACAAATTAGTACAAAGACAATGCAAAGTGCTTTACATGATTAAAATATAGGAAAAGAAAACAGAATCACAGCAAGTAGGGGAAAAAATGCAGAAACAAAAAAGAACATTAAAAACAGTTGGACTAAAGAAAATAAAAAAGTTGAACTAATGATGTTTCTGTTGAAATGTTTAACTAGAACAGTAGAGGGCATTCCTAAACAAATGTGTTTTTAGTCTTGATTTAAAGCAACTCAGGCTTTCCACACTTTTACAGTTTTCTGGAAGTTTGTTACAGATAAGTGGAGCATAGGAACTAAATGTTGCTTCTCCATGTTTAGTTCTGGTTCTAAGTTAAATCTAAACTAAGTTAAATCAGGCAAAAATAGTGTAGAGTCCCTAGCTTTAGAAACATGCTACAGTTGTGCTTGAAAGTTTACACAGCCTCCCTTTAGAGAAAAAGATTATTTCACATTACGCTGGAAAAGCAATCTAGAAATAAGTAAACATTTCTCAAATTCAGTGCATTTACCCTTAATTTGAGCAGATAAATGAGATTATTTTCCATAGGAATGAGTATTGTTACTCTTAAAATAAGATATTTAGATAATATGCACTTGAAATAAGACAATGCAATTTGGTTTTCTTATATTAGATGTAAATTGTCTTGTTTCATTGGAAAAATTTCTCTTTTACCTCCTCAATTCAAGAACAATTTCACTTATTTTAAGAAAAAATGACTTTTTCCAATGTAGTAATTGAAATAACACAAAACTGGAAAAATAAAGATAAATAAAAAATGAGTGTATTTTTTTTTTCTAATAAAGTTTTATGATGAAAATGACATATATTGCTTTGAAAAACTAGCCTTTAATTCAAGTATCTCTTCTTGGAGTTGACCTTAATTTCAAGGGAAACTAAATTCATGCTATGAAATATGCTTATAAAATAATACATCGTCACAAATATAACACACTGAATGCTTTCAGCTGGTGGTATGAGGGCAGCTGGTGTCATGAGGGCACATCTAAGAACAAAGTGATGAACTGATGTCACTTTGAGCTACAGAAGCGGTGGATTAATGAGAAAAATCGAACATTTTCCTAAAATTAAATCACCATAAACAAAATATTTGATTCATGGATTTTATCAGTTAAAAACCCTGATGTAGCTCAGACAGGTTTTCTTAAAAAATGTATGAGATGGAAGAAGGATGGTGAACTTCAAAGAGTGCTCCTAGTCACTGTAGTCAGATGTATGTATGTGTTTGCAATAGTTGCGGTCATATTGGTTATTGGTATTGACTATATAAATGAAATGTGTGTAAGCACATGTGAATATGTATATATTTATGTATACTTAAACTTAAGCATAAGTAGAAAATCATGTCTATAAATTATATTTGCATAATAAATTTGTAATTTTTTAGTTATTTCTTTCTTATTTAGCTGAAATAAAATAATTTATTCATTAAGTCTTTGCTGCCTTCTAAGGATGCAGAAGCTCTGCTCTAACCGATAATCCACCATTCTGCTAATAGAGAGCACACCAAGGGTTCAGAACTATTTTCTATGTAAAAACAAAAAGGTAAAAATAGTGACAGCAGTAGCTTCTTAAACATGAATGAAGCAGAACTGGAGAGGATAAGTATAAGATTTTCCTCCAATTGTACTTTTAGAAGTTCTAGGAACCATTAAACAACCAGGTATCTGATGTACGATGGAGTTGGATTATTAAAGGCTATAAATCTGAGAAGAATTTATAATTTCATCCTGGATTTAAGAGGGAGGCAATAAAAGGAAGCTAAAATTGGAGAAATATGATCTCCCTTTTTAGTTTTCATCAGAGCTCTCTCTGCAGCTTTTTGAAATAGCAGAGATTTTGGGGTTTTTCAATAAAGAGGAGTTGCGATACATCCTTAAAGTTAAAAATGCATTGAGTAAG